CCGAGACCTTAACAAAGCTTGATTGTACTCGTTTTGCGACCACGCCCATTACGTTTATGCGTTTAGATTTTCACCAACAGATTTCAGACTACAAACCTGTTATCACACGATATCTCGCGGCCTTCCTGGATGAGTGTGAAATCTACTTAGGGGTGGGGGACGGTTTGGGAGAAGGCTCTCTCTCTCCCCCACCCTCCTTTAAAGTAGACTTTTGCTCCAAGAGTTTGAGACTAACCTGTCGCGGTTTTAAAAACCCGCTCACATCTTAGTAAGGATTCAGAAACCAGATATGAGGAAGAATGAGAAAGGGCCCTAGTCGGACAGCTTAAAAATAACGCTTTATTTAGAGAGGTTGACACTTAACAGTTTCACGAACTGATAAACCTCTAGCTCCCTCTAAGGGTTCCTAACTAAGGCTGGAGACACTTTCCAGATCGAAATGTAATTTATCTGAAATGTTGGTTTTTGGATGAAACCGAAGTACCGACTGGCGAGCCGGCGAGCCGCCGAACCACTAAATCATATACCTTAACGTTCTTCAATCACTGGAAGCGACTGGCGAGCCGGCGAGCCGCCGAGCCACTAAATCATATACCTTTCTCGTTCTTTATTCACTGAAAGCGACTGGCGAGCCGGCGAGCCACCGAGCCACTAAATCATATACCTTTCACGTTCTTTATTCACTGGAAGCGACTGGCGAGCCGGCGAGCCACCGAGCCACTAAATCATATACCTTTCTCGTTCTTTTTCACTGGAAGCGACTGGCGAGCCGGCGAGCCACCGAGCCACTAAATCATATACCTTTCTCGTTCTTCAATCACTGAAAGCGACTGGCGAGCCGGCGAGCCACCGAGCCACTAAATCATATACCTTTCACGTTCTTTATTCACTGGAAGCGACTGGCGAGCGAGCGAGCCGCCGAGCCACTAAATCATATACCTTTCACGTTCTTTATTCACTGGAAGCGACTGGCGAGCCGGCGAGCCACCGAGCCACTAAATCATATACCTTTCACGTTCTTTATTCACTGGAAGCGACTGGCGAGCCGGCGAGCCACCGAGCCACTAAATCATATGCCTTTCACGTTCTTTATTCACTGGAAGCGACTGGCGAGCCGGCGAGCCACCGAGCCACTAAATCATGGTAGTTTCGAAAACGAAGCACTCGAAAACGAAGACCGAAGCACGAAGCACCCAAAACTCGAAAACGAAGCACCCAAATCTCGAAAACGAAGCACCCAAATCTCGAAAACGAAGCACCCAAATCTCAAAAACGAAGACCCCTAAATCTCGAAAACGAAGCACCCTAGATCGAAAACGAAGCACCCAAAAACTCGAAACCGGTCTGTCCTTTATAAACACGAGACCAATGCTAATACAGCAGGAATCAAGCACGATAACGAATTCTCCTGTTCTCCACCACAGAGCCTGGTCCCAGGCTGTTATCCTAGAACAAATTCTGCCTGGATCTGATCTGATCTGATCACGCAGTGTCATAGATATCCAATATGTTAGACTGCAAAACAATCGGTTTTTTTTCTCAAAATCAATAAAGAAGTCGGTAAAGCGTGGCGTAAGAGTAATACGCGCGAGCCTCACACCCGTTTTCAGCCTCGTTTCAGACCTTTTGTGTTACTGCTCACGCGTACTTGAATACGCTAAAATCTGCTGACGGACAGTTTTGAAGTCTACATAATCATGTATGTGTACCGAAAAAAATGCATATTAAGGTAAGATGTATCAAGTATAGCGAGACTAATATTAAAATTAATACAGGATATCCTATCTAGAAACGTTCAGTGAAACAGTTGGTTATAAAACCTTGGGATGGATTTTGTGGACCTTCGAAGGTGCGGACGCATCCGCTGCCTCCACCTGATTCGGATTGCGTCATGTAAGACGTAAAGTTGCACTTATTAAACCTACAGTAGTTTCGAGTTTTCGTTTTCGAGATTTAGGGGTCTTCGTTTTCGAGTTTTGGGTGCTTCGTTTTCGAGATTTTGGGGTCTTCGTTTTCGAGATAGGGTGCTTCGTTTTCGAGTTTTGGGTGCTTCGTTTTCGAGTTTTGGGTGCTTCGTTTTCGAGTTTTGGGGTCTTCGTTTTCGAGATAGGGTGCTTCGTTTTCGAGATAGGGTGCTTCGTTTTCGAGTTTTGGGTGCTTCGTTTTCGAGTTTTGGGTGCTTCGTTTTCGAGTTTTGGGGTCTTCGTTTTCGAGTTAGGGTGCTTCGTTTTCGAGATAGGGTGCTTCGTTTTTTTGGGTGCGAGATTTGGGTGCTTCGTTTTCGAGTTTTCGGGTTTTGGGTGCTTCGTTTTTCGCTTCGGTTTTGGGTGCTTCTTCGTTTTTTTCGAGATTTTGGGGTCTTCGTTTTTCGAGATAGGGTGCTTCGTTTTCGAGATAGGGTGCTTCGTTTTCGAGTTTGGGTGCTTCGTTTTCGAGTTTTGGGTGCTTCGTTTTCGAGTTTTGGGTGCTTCGTTTTCTTCGTTTTCGAAAAACTACCACTAAATCATATACCTTTCTCGTTCTTTTTTCACTGGAAGCGACTGGCGAGCCGGCGAGCCGCCGAGCCACTAAATCATATACCTTTCACGTTCTTTATTCACTGGAAGCGACTGGCGAGCCGGCGAGCCGCTAACATCTAACGCTCTTACTAAAGTGGCCCTGTATTATGTAGTTGCTCCAATATTTCTGTTTGAATCTATTGCCAGATTGTAGTAAAAATGGCTTCAGAGCGGATAGTTATTGCTGGTCTTTTCGTGTTCATTTTTGCCACGCATTTTCTTCAACTGCAGGTAGGTTTGTTCAGTTTTTAACATGGTTTCGAATGGTTTTAACCTGAAATGAGAAAAAAATCGGCTTAAGTTTGCCCGCTTTGTGTGAGAAAATCACATTGTAACTTTACTCAAAAAACGTGTTTGTTTTATTAGAATCACAACTGAGGAAATACGCATTGAAGAAAGCGTTGTCGTGAGTTACAGTTTTCTCGGAGCCTTGATACAATAGCCAGGGGAGAATTCTTGTTTCGAGGAACATTTGAACGTTTTCGGTATAAAAAAGGCTGTCGGTACGGCAAAGACCAATCCATCGCCGAAAAGTTAAAAAATGTGTTATTGTCACCTATAGCTCTATCTAGATAAAGGTATTTTTTTGTACTACCCTTTTTTTTTCGCAAGAGAGAATAATCTCTCTCTCGTGCTTTCCCGGAATCTTGAGGGCCTTGGTGAGTTCTTGGAATCAACCAAATGCTCTGCCTCGGGACTCTTCGCGCGTCTACTTTGAACAATACCGCATATTTTGCTTCGCGAATAACCACCAAATGAAGTCATAATTTACAAAATAACCATTAAAAACTTGACGGATATATATGACCTGTTTCTTTAGAATGAGAGAACGGTAAAAATTGGTAAAGGAATTCGCTTCGAATGGCGAGTGAAGCGGTGAAACTCCTCCCGTTTATTATATCGAATCTCAACTGTCGACATTTTGGAGCTTTCTGATCAGTCTGTCTGATGGCCTTAACAGCTCAGTTAGAACCTCTCTGGTAACGTTGTAAACTATGATATTAAAGTTTTAAGTATTTTTAGCAAACGAAATAACTTAAATATACTTGATCATATTTCAGTATTTCTTGGCTTGTCCATCGAATTCCACAGTTGTTCAACTAGCCGGGAAGGTTGCTTCAGAAACCAGTTAAACTGCTCCGGCTTTTAAATTTGACTCGATTTCACGATATTAGAACCGCACTATGGAATTTAAAGCTCTACAAACGAATCAAAAACTTCTAAAACCTCCTGAAAGAGTAGCTTGTATATAATTGTCTAGCGTGTTATTTGAAATTAAAATTTCGCTAACGTGATGTCAAGTTATCACTTGATATGTGCAGTTAATGGCCGCTTGCCTGTCGTCATTTCCATTTTTTAGTTGTGATCTTTGAAATACTAGAATAAAAACGTCCACAATAAAACAGAATCATAGCTCAATGAACCAAATATTAAATTTATTGATACTCTGATAGTACGTGGTGGCATTCCAATTATTTCAAACACTGCGCCGACCACCGACGGAAGTTCCTCGGAACCTCTGAGGTATCGCCAAGGGTTGAAGTACTGGAGTTTCACAGGCCGCTGTATAAATTGTTGATCATTGTTGGAAAACAAATTTAAACCTTTGCGATTTCCTTGTAAATACCACTTCAAGCGTCCATGACATTTAAGATGTTTTAAAATTCAACAGTTTTCGCGGGAGTGAAACGTCAGTAAATTACGCGAAGACATTCGAAATATCGCTGAGTCGTATCACGTCGTCATGACCACCAAGGAACGGGCGTAAAAATCGGTTTGTAATTTTTACCATAGTATTTGCAAACTTTTAATACACGGAAAGTTGCACAAGTATATTCGTGCAGTTTTTTCCGAAATATCGACATTTGGAATTTACAGTGATTTATTCTAGTTTCAGATAATTACTTAAACTTTTGCCAGCCTTTGACCGTGAGTGAACATTTTTGGACGATAAAATTTTGGACGTCTTTTGATACAAACCTTCCCCTTAAGATCATAAAGTAGTACTTTAGTCAGTCTTATTCTTGAAAATCTTATTAAAGCTCTGCAGAGTAAAGTACATGAAAAAAAAAAAACGCATTTATCGTGTTGAGAACTTTGGAATCCGGACTGACTAGCACAATAGGCCAGCTATCCAATAACCTGCGTGCGATCAGGTATTATGAGGTATCCTTCTTCCCTTTTTGTTTGGGGAAAAAAACGCCTGCTCGCAGGTTAGCTATCGTATCCGATATTGTATGAACACCTATCCGATATGTGACTCTCCATTTTAGAGATCGTTACAGAAATCGCGTCGAGATCACCGTGATCGTTGGCCTGTGTGTCAGCCTAAGCCCAATCCGATATCATGATGGTCTTCGCGCCAGCGCAAAAGCTATCTGGTATAATGTAAACGTAGCCTTAATCTAATCAGTAGGTAATGGTTTTATGATCAGCAGTTAAATCATTTTGTTTTTAGCTGAGTTTGAAGACCACCAAGATATAGAGCCAAACTCCATCTCTGAGGATGGGGGATGTTCCGGTTCTTCTCCAACCTTGGGCGATGGCTGTTCACTAAGCGATGACTGCAGCACGATCACCTGCAAAATGGATTTCGTCAAGAAGCCAATCACATTCAAACTCAAGGTATGCTAAGAATTTAACGCCATAACGGACTAGGTAGTTTTAGATTGCGAACGTTAACTGAAACGCTTACGACAAGCAATGAATTCAATTACAATGAGACAATGTTGTTATAAGCTATAACTTTAGTCAAATGAAAGCTAATGAGCAGTACTTTCCATGGTACTGTTTACTATGCTTTATTATATAGACATCAGTGTTTTAATGGAAAATATACCACTCGTAAAATTCATAAAAACTACATCCGGGACCCGTGTGGTTTATTTTCCATAATGTCAGTCATTTCCCTCTATTATTTTATCGATGTCTTTTTGTCTATATAATAAAAAGAACATTACACGGTGGCGCGAAGATATGAATTTTATTTTCTCGTGGCAAAACAATATTTTACTCACTCGCTGCGCTCGTTTGTAAAATATTGTTTTGCCACTCGAAAATATAATTCATATCTTCGCGCCACCGTGTAATATCCTCTATGTAAAAGGTGGTTCTAACTTTTGAGTCTGTGGATGAAATGCTAAAGTGTTGTCATTCAGATGAAAGCTACTGAGCAGAACTTTCCTGTGGCCGTTTATTACACTGTACAATGTGCTTCTGACTTTTGAGTTACTGTGGATGAAATTTTGAAGTGTGACCATTTCTCGCGAAGCAGCGACATGTGAATAGCTATCGTGTATAAATAGGCTCTATTGATGAAAATATATATTCTCTTACTCGCTAGATCAACAAATGTGATGACCCTGTTACTGTAACGGCTTCCATGAATGTCCCGGATCTGGATATCACGTGGTCTCATACCTACAGTGGTGATGACAAAATTCCAGTGCCCGGATTTAGTGTTCCTGTTGGTGGTGTGTACGTTCAAGTAGACCTCACCAATAACGGAGATACACTGCATTTAAAGGTGTGTTCTAAAGGCTTTCATTTATAATCACCTGGAAGGAACGGGGGTTGGGGGGAGGGGGTGGGGAGAGGGTGGTCGTCAATATCCGTTTCAATTTCCAATCCATACTTTCCAGTCCCGCCATTCACACAAGCCATTTCCCACAGGGCTTTTCCCAGCACAATAAATGAAAGCTCCCTTACGTCACGATAAATAAACAATCAGCCAATTGGCGGAGGTCTATGTGACTGGTGAGGGTAAAAGGAGGAATGAGTTTGGGGAATGACATGTGGCATGCCTTGCGGAGTGACATACAGTTGTAATCATGCGGAATGTAATATATGCTGAATGACTAAAAGAAATAAATTAAACTGAAAAGTGTACCCTTTTTGGCGCCAATCAATTTGCTAAATTAGCGACTTTTTTTTTTTATTTTTGCGGGCTCGACTACGATGACAATCAAAAAGCCACGAAGGATTCCTTGATTTCTCACTCTCGATTAGCCTTTTTCGCACAGCCACAAAGATGAGATTTATTCAGGCGGGCTGCATGGCATTACCGATACTACAGCACTGAAGTCGGCCATTGAAGAAAAGATGTTTTGGAAGGTCACGCTCCTTCTGCTTTAATTTTTCTGCAAAAGTTGTTTGCACGATTAACTCCACAGGTTTTTACCTTCACTTGTAGAGCAGAACCCCTATATCTCGAACTCGGATAACTCGCACTCCCCGCTTACTCGAACTAAGTCCAATTTCCCCTGGATTTCATCCCACTTTTCATTCATTTTTTACTCGACCGTTAACTCGAACTCGGATATTCGTTACCCCACTGACTCAAACTAAATTTGCTTTCCTACGACCGAGTCTACCATTTCCTAGCAGCCTCGTAAAGCCTACCACTACTAGAAGTGATTTCCTCCATAATCCTCGTGAACTCCAACGCGCTGCTCTAGCATCTTGGTTTGAGCCAGAAATAATAAACGGACCGGCAGAGCGGTTGCTCCTTCAAATTTGTGCCAAAATAAGGCGCGGCAGAGACGCACGTATGCTTTTCTGCTTAATTTATTCCTGTGTTCCATTTCCATATATTGCATTCCGCATAATTATTTCATTCCGCAAGCCATGCCACATGCCATTCCGCAAACTCATTCCTCCTTTTACCCTCACCGTGATGCGAGAGCAGGTCACGTAATGAAAGGTTTTCTGTTGTATGGTTCCAGGCTTGTTCTGGCCTGCGAAAACATCCGTTTCTCCTCGCTCTTCTTTCCGCGCGAAACTTCCCCAGCGGCGAAGAGCGAGGAGAAAAGGATATTTTCGCAGGCTAGGCTTGTTCTAACTTGGTACATCAACTAGCTTAAGACATAAAAATCAACATCAAAACCCACATACAGAAACGAATCCTCGAAAATGAAAACGAAACAACTGGTTACTGTGTAAATGGTTTTCTACATTTTTATAAAAAAAAATGCGCTGGGCAACCAGGAAGACTAAATGTTTTTTACTTCTTCATGCTGATCATATTTTTGATATGAAAAGGTCTTTCTAGTTGCAGCTTTCAAACTACTTTTGTAAGATTTGAATGAACCAACACTCAATTGAATGGAATCAGTTGAAGGTGACTGTTTTATCTTTTACCAGGTGAATCTGCTGGTCGGAGCACTGGGTGTTTATCTCCCCCCAGTCACTGTTGTGGATGGAGACTTGCCGATCTCAACTGACGACTGTGGCAAGTAAAACTGATCTTGATCAACATGGCGTACTATATCTAATTAAAAGCAGTTCTTGTCACGAGTAATAATCTGTACGATAAAGCAGTGTTCGACACTAAATATAAGCACTTTACTTAGAGCGGGACACCCGCGGGACACCCGCGGGACCAAATTAAGACCTTAATACGAGAGGGACATCCGCGGGATTATATTAGGTGCCTGCCATACGTGTATACATCGAACTGAATCAGTGTTAGCCTGCGTAGCAGGTGCTTGGAAGTAGTGGGCACAAGAAAGAACGGGCCGCGCGAGGTAGACACTCGTGTCTTACTCTGGCACGCTCGTTCTTTCTTGCGCCCAAATACTTCCAAGTGCCTGCTACTCTGGCTAAATCAGCTTGTCCACCTCGTAACCATAGTAGCACAGACAAAGGAGTAAAATAAAGAGGAACTCCGATATAAACAAGTGCCAGGTGTACAGAAAAACACAACGGGGCTGGTTCTTTACTGGGGAGTTTCGTTTCATTCATTTTCGATCACTGCAGATATCGGAGTTACATAGGGCTGGTTCGATTTACTGGGGAATAACTGTTTATTTCCATAGTGCAATACGTGTAAGAAAGGTGTCAGCTTGAAAAGAAATGACCAAAATTTGTTGTTTTTAGGATTCTTCGGATGGTTTATTGACCTAAGTGTTCCTGCTAAAATAGCAGTGATCGCTGGAACGGTTGTTTTTCTCATCGCCGTCTGCTGTGGCTGCTGTTGCTACTGCTGCTGTAGGAGGCGCCGCTCCGCCAATCAAGGTCCTATCATCATCGCGCCTGGTGTTGGTACTTCCGCTGTCATGACAACGAATGCCAACACTCGGGTTCCCATGCGACCATTGGTCGAGGAGGAATGAGCCCCAACTAGCTCCTAAGTTCTTAGAATAGTGTCTCCCAATGCAGCCTTGAGCCCGCATTATACGCAGCCAAACTTATTTAGTCCTTTTTTGTGTGATGAATTAACCGTAAAATCAACCATATATTGTTTGAAATAACAGTATGAAGTTTTGCTATTATCAAGTTTGTTGTTTTGAGTACTCTTTTTGTCTTAGCTTGTCTCGTAGATAATGGATTTTCTCCCCCATGATTGGTCCCAAGTGAAGACCAGCCTTACATGTTTTCATGGAATTTACGTTATGTTGTAATGGTTCAAAAACAGTTGATTATGAGATTTTGTTAGCCAGCCTACGAATGAAATAGACTGTAGACCACGCTTAAAATGAGTCAGGTCAGGGTTGAACACTGAAAATAGGAATTAAGCACCGACTATAGTAATTAGGATTAAGAATTAACAATTATATAGTGATAAGAGTTAAACATTAATGGAACTCGATATGCTTTGCATTTTTTTAGGTTTAGGTTTGCCATTGTATGCACCGTGTATTTTGATCAAAGTAGTAATTGACAACGAATTTGAAAGATTCTAACCTTTTTTTGACTTAACTCATGACTCATTTTGACTCATTTGTACCTATCTCTAGCTATTTCAGTGTAAACGGAACCTAAACGGGCCACCACTTGTTTCAGCTGATAGAGGTACCGGTGCGATCGTAATTAGTGTGAATAAATCAGCGTTTGTGATTGAAATGTAGGGCGTATTCTTGGCTCAGTTCGGTTCTCCAGTTTATTTTAACCTCAAGTCAGTTCGCGTTAGAATATTTTATCTTCTTTTTCCTTTTGTTTCTTAAGACACAAACTTGATAAACTGAGAAAAAAGACGCCACCTTACCCTTGACCCCATTTGAGGAAAACATCCTAAAAAGAATAGTTTTATACGGATGGAGATCAAGCTAATAATAATAATTATTGTAATAATTATTAGTATACTTCAACAAAAATCTTGGGAAAAAGCCTTTTAATATTCAACATTTGTACATGTAAACTTCCGTAATATTGATTAGTTTAATTTTTCACCTGATATTATACTGTACCCGTCGCCGTAATTTTTACGCCATCTTCGAAAAATTGTAATTGAGGAGGCCTAATTAACATAAGCTCTATAGTTTCTTTTAGGCCTCCTCGCCATCTCTTCCTACATTTTTTTCTTTTTTTCTTTTGGCATCTTTAAGTAATGTAATTGTGTGGCAAATAAATAAAAATACCTAAAAGCTTTTGAGATAGGATGATAGGTATAGTAAAGAAATATGTTGAATAATGGAATGTTCAATAATTTTGTTCCAGACTCGTAGCGTCCACGCTTTTATTTTCTCAGGACATGATCATGGTTGAAAGAACAAACCAGAAGGGACTGGGATTAACTCTATTGTGTTCGCGTTCGTCAACAGAGCGACCAATAGAGCCGGTGTTTTCACATGCCGTCACGGTGGCCATATTGGTGTCCCAAAACAATGAAACGGCGGCCATATTGGTGTCCCAAACCAGTCCTCAGGGAGTTGAACTCTTTTCTTTCTTTTGTTCCAATCAATTTGCATAAACGCTGGCCACGTGAGTGAAAACACTCTATTGAGATTCTCAAATATATAGGTGCGTTTCTTTGATATCATCCAGATCAGGATCAGTGATCCGAGATCACTCGGATCAGTAGATCAAATGAACTGATGAATCCTTGTCCACAGTGGATTCATCGGTTAATTTGATCTACTATGATCCGCGTAATCTGATTGGATCTGATTGGATCATGGAACGCACCCACAAATCTTTATGGGTTCTTCAACTGGGCCGAGTTGTTCAAAGCTGGGTTACGATAACCCAGGGTTAGTTGGAAATTTGAATTCAGATATGAAAGCTTAAAAAGCAAATTCAATTTAATTCTTTTTGTCAACAATTTGATGATTGGCTACTCTAAAAAGCATAGAGGAAATTATCCGAGAAAATGCTTTCGATCAAAAGAAAACGAAGAGACCCGGGTTACAATTTAACCCTGGGTTATCGCTAATCGGCCTTCGAACAACTGGGCCATGGGCTTGTTTTGCCCTCTTTCCACTCCCCACCCCCCTCCCCCTTAGCCCTTCATTAGGGAGCTTAAAGGGAACCTCCACTTCAACAAAAAGATAACTTTAAATCACAGGAAATAACTGTTACAGTCAAGTCAATCTAAAATATTTTTTAAAAAAGCGTTTGTATCCGAAAGAAATAACTTTTAGATTCGCCTATTTTTGTTTTCAAATTTTGCGGGCGTCGCCATCTTGAATAATTGTGACGTGTTACGGTTGCCCTATTGTTATTAAACAAAAGCTCTTTGTGTCAGAACAATAGAGCAACCATAACACGTCACAATTATTCAAGATGGCGGCGCCCGCGAAATTTGAAAGTGAAAATAAGCGATTTTAAAATTCACTTTTCCTGATATAAACACTTTTTTAAGGACAAATTTCGAACAAATTTGTTTATCAACATAATTTTATTCGATTTAAACTTATTCTGTAGTAAGAGTGGAGGTTCCCTTTAAGCAACGATGATGGCAGCGGCAGCTAAAACGTAACCCGAAAACTGAATTCGCGCTGCTTCAAATTTCATCGCTCTTATTGCAACTCCTTTACTTTGTCAAGTGTTGGCGATATTTTCAGGAGTTGAATTCTAAAGGACTGCATCTAACTTTACAAAAGAAAAAGAAAATAGTTGTCATGTGTTCCTGTCCTCCATAAAACGTGAAGTTAGAAAAATTTCACGCCGTAGTTGTGCAGTGACAGCAAAGAAAAGTACAAAAAAGCGTGATGCCCGTGCAAAAATGTTGTTTTGCCAGTGTTGCCGTTCTCGTTACCGTGGCCGCCGTCGTTGCTTATTAGGGAGCTTTAGCATCGACGACGGCAACGGCAGCGAAAACTTCAGTTTTAAAATGAATTCCCGTTTTTTCAATCTTTGTCGCGTTTATTCCAATTTGCTGTAAATGGCAAGTGTAGGCGAATTTCCCTGGAGTTGATTTCTTGAGGACCGTACTCAAGTTTAGAGAGAGAAAAAGAGATTCGTCGTCGCTTGTTTACGTCCTCCATAAAACTTGCAATTAGGCATTTTCACGTCGTAGTCGTGCAAGGACGGTAAAGAAATGTACAAAAAAGCGTGATGCACGTGCAACGTTGGTGTTTTGCGTAATAAACCTATTGCTTTTTTGACGTCCTGGTTGCCGTCGCCGTCATCGTTGCTAAAGCTCCCTAATAAGCTCCCTATTGACGACTCCAGAAAATACCATAACATATCATAATGCTCTTTGTTTGTCACCCCCAAAATTTGGCATAAGCATTGTCTTCAGTTTCTCTTGGGAGTTCAAATGGCCCCAAGAAAAACTGAAAACAATGCTTATGCAAAATTTGGGGGTGACAAACAAAGAGCATTATGGTATGTTATGGTATTTTCTGGAGTCGTCAATTCCGCTCCTGCGTCACTGTGGTTCATCATGGCACAATGCACTAATCATAATTTCCGAGAAAATGGCCTCGATTCGAAGAATACTGCAAACCGGTCAAACAGGAAATCTGGCTAATGCCTCCTACCAACAACCACGAAGAGTGCCGTTAAAACATTTTTGTTTGCTCCTTCGGTGTGATGATGGCTTGGAGAAGGAACTTGGCAACTGGCTTTTATTTTCTTATTTTTACCCAACTTTTGTCTTCAGTTGCAGGTCAGTTTAGTTTACAAACTGTTACAAACTATCTCATCTCTGATGACCAGTGAAATTATAATTTCTTGTGATCGTTAGCATGATTTTGTTGGTAGTTTGGGGTCTTATAGTATTTTTTAAACGGCTACGACTTGGTGCAATAGATTCTTTGGGAAAAAGCCGAATATAAAACAGGTCAATTTGTTGAAAAGCTAAAAGATCTCTTTTATAGAATTATACGCCCTTGGAGTGTGTCAGATTTCTCAGAAACTTTGATCTCCTGTTTCTTCGAAACGAAACAATTAAGACTCTCAATTAAGTTTAGCGTCCTACACATTCTGCGTGAGGTACAAGCCCATATACAACTATAAACTCTTAACTGCTGAAAATTTTGCATATAAAATCCTTTCACTTAAATAAGTAAACTTCGAGAGTTGAAATCTAGCTGTTCAAAGAAATTTCTCTTTGTTCACCGGCTCGGAAACTTCCAAAAGTCTTTGAACTTTAATAGATTGCGGATCGCTATAGATTACCGCACTGCTAATATAACGCTGTCTTTGGTCACCAAAAATTCAAGAGAACTATCTGGAGAAATAACTTGTTTTGATCTTGATATGAAAGCAAATCAAATATTGCATTTTGCGATTTAGTTTTAATAGTTTTTGGACGAAAAAAATTGAGCGGCTTCAGGAGAACGCGTGCGTTGGAAACGGCCGGGTGGATGCATGGATCGTCGTTGTAACCTGAAATTTATTTTGACCGTTTTCAGTAAGGTATCATTTTTTTCTCCAAGCTAAGCCGGCTCTTTGATTGTGAATAAATATGAAATCAAGAAGCAAGACTGACTGCAGCTAGAAGAATGCTAGCCTTTCTTCTTAATCTTTGGTAGTTTATTCGACAAAATTTGCCCACTAGACTGATTTACCGGGATTCGGCACCTTTTTGCCTTGTACCTCGGCCCTTGGTGCGTATAGACTTCCCCTGCCATTCTTGAGTAATGTTCCTTAATTTTTTTCAATATTCATATCGAATTCAATTATTTATGACGCGGCGCTCTCGAATCTTCCGCTTGGGGGGCGATTATATATCATCGATCGAATTAGGGAGCGCGATTAATTATGCCCAATCGGTTTTTAAGCTACCTGAATAAAGCCAGTTTTCCACATTTTTCTTGTTTTAACACGAGTGAATATCGTTTAAAGCAAGATAAAAAGAGATATATAAAAAAAACTTGGCTTCGTTTGTCTCCTTTTGTTAAACCTAATTTCTTTTCATTCCGCTGAAAACCTTATTAAAATTCATCAAAAACTGCATGTGAAAAGTTTATTTTAGATAGTTAAATAATGATGCCAAGTTTTTCTACTGCCATTATTTATTTAGCCAAACATATTGCAAAACCTAAAGATATTTGGGAGACTTTACAGAAATGCAAGAAATTGTTCAAAACCCTTCAACAGACGTCACAGAAACTCGAAATTCTTCAGTGTTTAAACCCTGTTGTTCATTCTTAAATTTAAAAATACTGTTCATTCTTGAATAAAAATAATATTATCGTTATTTTCTTGTCGTCCATAATAATATTTATATGAAGTTTTGCGACCAGAAAAGAAATAGTGTTTTCAAGTTATGTCGACATGGGTCAGTTGATATCATGGTTAGCTGTCTCAGTAGAGTTGTGTCATTCATTTTCATTGAGTAGGAGCACCCAACGTCGCAGTAATTTCACCTTTCGTTGTCAGAGTTTTGAATCGTAACTAGAGCCACAGTCTCCGGCAAAAATAGTTGGGACACTTCCACCCGACGCTGTTTTTCAACTTCTGGCCCATCTCCTCGTCCTTCCAATCTTGTTTATCGCAGTTAACTCGCCAAATTCTGTATACCAACATTGGGAGGGCAAGAAGACGGCAATGGCGGAACCAGACCTTCAGATAAGGTGGGGAGCGGGGGGAGCGGTCATCCAGACCCTGACATAAGGGGGGGGGGGGATGGTGTCAAAAAATTTTGAATACCAACATTGGAAGGGCATGCGCAAGAAGACCGCAATAACGGATCCAGATCTTCAGATAAGGTGGGGAGCGGGGGGGGGGTGGGGAAGCGGTCATCCAGACCCTGAAATAAGGGGGGGTGGTCTCAAAAAAATTTTTTTCCTCCTTTCGGGCCTAAGTTTGGTTTAAAAATAAGGGGAGAGCCTGGCTCCCTCGGGCCCCTTCCCTGTATCCGCCACCTGACAGCAAAGTGTCACAACAATTTTAACTGAGACTATAACTTAAAAAGCATAATAAACAAAGAACGATTTAGAAACACGTTTATTAAAGGCAAACGTCAATTTGAACCACGTGACCAAGTTTTCCTTTTACTCTTCTCGTTTGCTGTTTACGATATCTACACACACAAAAAAAGTTTTATGTCGGGTTCATCCACTATAATTATATATTATCACAGCTTTTTACGGCTGATCATTTTGTTTAAGAAATCACCAACTTGAATCTGATGCTTGTTATTTGCCCGGAAACGTGATTCTAACCTTTCGAAATAAAATGTAATTAATACAGGACCGTCGCGTCCACACATAATACGCACACAGTATTTCCTTAGTTTTATTATTCCATAATTCGGCTCGGACAGACGTCGATGAGAAAAACAACCGCTCCAGTATTTTTTCTGCATATCAATTTATTGAAAATATCCTGCAGAAAAGCTGGAAATTGCATTTCTGAGACCCTAAATTTAAGAATTTTCTGGGGGAGCATCCCCCAAGACCCACCCTAGGTTGGGCTGCCTGCGGCATACAACTGTTCTCTCCACGTGTGTACACCTTCTTAATCTTACACAAGGCTCCTGATATGAAGTCCTTTGCTTTCAGCTGGCAGTTACGAAGATGATAGTTGGTCTGACGGCAATAATAACTATATTGCGGAGTACTCTGGAGGTTCATGTTCCGGTATGTCCCAGACCCAGCTGAGTGAAGGCTGTTCTAATAGTGACGACTGCAGCACGATCACGTGCAATATGAATTTCGTTGACGAGCCAATCACATTCAAGTTAAAGGTATAGCCTGCAGAGCATGCGTTTTTTTAACGATAGCGCGACTGACCTAGAGGGCAACTGGAAAACTATGTTAGGAGGGGCGGGCAAGGACGAGGGACCCATCAACCACTCCCTTGGAATCTTTTTTTGACTCGCCTTAACTCTCTGTCACTTCAACGTCCAAATCGTTCGGGTTATTTCATCCCAAAGATTCAGGGAAATGCTTAATTTTCTGCGTTTGTAACCGTATTAATGCCGGTAAGCCAACACGAATGAGTACAACTAGCTCTTTTCACGAAATCACGTTATGCTTATAATAATTATCATAACTAAATATTGGCATTTTTTCTCAACAAGTCAACAAATGCGATGAACCTGTCACGGTAACGGCATCCATGGATGTTCCGGATCTAGGTGTCACGTGGTCTCACACGTACACAAGTGACGACATCATTGAAGTACCCGGATTTACTGTATCTTTGCCTTCTATATTCTCGGCTGGAGTGTACGTTCAAGTTGGACTCACTGATAACGGAGACCGATTGCATCTTAAGGTATTTTACAGTTATCTCATTGGCCAATTCATCGTGACGTCAATACGTTTACTACTAAGGGGCAGGAGCCGATAAGTAATCGGCTCCTGTAAGGGGCTAGAGATGACGTTGCGGTGAGTACAAGAATAGGCCATCTTCAAGTTCCAAAAACCGTCACTTTCAAAGCGAGGCAAAGTGCAATGCTATCATTAAAGGCTAATGTTGACCTTGATTTATGAAATGAAACTTCGAAACTATTCTTTGATTCAACAGGTGAACCTTTTGGCCGGTGGTAAAGTGTTAGGAAAGAGTGTTTATCCAGTAAAAGTCACTGTCATACAGGGAGATTTGCCAATTTCCACTCACGAGTGCGGTGAGTACTAATCATACTTTTACAAAAACTTTTATAGCAGAAGTACGCTTATTCTACGATGAAAATCTGACGAGTTTAACTTAGTGCTTAATTTTTGTCTGTTTTCGGTGTCATGTTTGTAGATGAGAGGGGAAAAAGCAGCCGCAACTGTTTTTCGAGAATTATTTATCTCGAGCGGAGCGGGAACAGTTTTAAGGAAGTTTCTTGTTGCTGTGGACGGGTTCAATCACCAAATGACGTAGCATAAAACATTGAAAAGTCACTGAAAAATACCCAAAGCACAATTCAAAAGCAACCAACAATATGGTTTCCGCAAAACCACAGAACAGTCAATTTGTAGAGTTCAATCAATTAAGTATCGTTGAATCTATTTTTAATATAAAGTGTGCTTTTGTTGCAGGGATCTTCGGGTGGTGGTACAACTTTTCCGATATTGAAAAGGCAGCAGTAATTGGTGGACCTCTATTGTTCATCATTCTACTAATCATTGCCTGTTGCTGTTGTTGCGGCTGCTGCAGGTCCCGTCCAACCAACCAAGGGGCTGTTATCGTCACTCCCGCAGCTATCCCTACAGCTGTCATGGCAACAAGTACCAGGAGCACCGTTCCCATGAAACCGCTGGTCAACGAGGCTTGAGTTTCACTCCAATCTAGGCGTACCCACAGTCTTCTTTATTTTTAGTCAGCGCGCGTTGCCCGCGGACCAAAAAAGACAGAAGACTCTGGGTACGAGATTGGTTTCACTATGAATAGACACAGTGGAGCAATGTGTAAAAAACGCGTAGTTTTTGCTAAAATTTTGCTTTGTTTATAACAGTTTAATCCGTTCTGAACACTTTTGTTTAGTTACTGTTAAGTACAATCATAAACAATTGTTGACGTTTTATGCTCGGTTGACGCCGTATTTCATATAAACCAGATCAAATTTGATTTTGGGCCCACCCATATTAATTTAGCACGGCTTAATTGATCCAACCGAACTAAAGCTTCAAAATGCAGTACGAATATATCAAAATTTTTTCAATATTATGCAGTTAGTTCGGCTAAAATTTGAAGTTCAGTGTCTGTATTAACGCAGGTCCACAGCCGTTTCCAATGGATTCTGCGTCTTTATTCTGCTTCTGTGGAAGTGCGGCGTCTGAATCGAGCCTCTAAGTACCTTTGTTGCTAGATGTTTCCTGCTATTGTTTATATTCTCATACTTAATATTACGTCGGTTGATTTGGAGCATTAAATGTTTCTTCGGATTTTCGTATTGCACTCTCTATGTGAACCTACAACCAACAGCTGACGCTGCAATGTGGGACGCCATCAAGACTGTTATTACCAATTAGTCTCCTCCGCAGCCGCTTAGAACGGAGTCAGCGATGCGGGAGACCAAACCATGGAATAAAAAGGTGTCGTCATGCATTTATATATAGTATACACTGTAGGAATTGTATGAAGGTTTAGATCCTCGGAACCAAAGAAAAACGTCCTGCGATAGAATTTAGGGTGTGCCCTAAAGAAGGTTTGGGCGGTACGGGACAAAACCCAATTATCCTTTTGTTAGGTGGATTTTCCAGCATGTAAAATTATATCGTATTCAAAATTTAAGGAGGGGGGGGACATGGGGGTTTACGGTATTGCGGTATTGGGCTTTTTTTCATGCGGTATTTCGGTAATTTCAATTTTAACGTGCGGTATTGCGGTATCATCTAGCTCTGCGGTATGCGGTTTTTCATCATTTCGGCTGACGGTATTCGGTGAAATAAGATTGTTCACGGTATTACGGTACCGTTTATTTGCGCTTTCCTTTCGATACAAAACGCAAAACGAAACACATTAGGACATAAAGGCCAATAAAAGTTAATATTTAGAAGTCTTGAGACATAACGGTAAATGATTACACCATTTGTGGGTCATTTTGTGACAGTTTATTTACAGTGAAACCTGTATTAAGCGGACACCGTATTAAGCGGACACCCTCTATTAAGCGGACAGTAGCTGAAGTCCCCAAATTTATTTCCCTTATTTACTTTACATAAAACCTTTATTAAACGGACACCTCTATTAAGCGGACGCGGAGACCTAAAAAGTACCTGAAATGGTCATTTCTATTGTTGCCAACCTGTATTAAACGGACACTTGTAATTAAATCCACCACCCAACATGCCAGACGCCGGAAATACGAAAGATTGCCACCCTCAATTTTTTCGATTTTTACATTAAAAAACGTGACTTGACGAACTTATTTGAGTTTGATTAGTTTCACAGTACAGTATAGTTCTCTATTTCGTTTTGTTTCTATAGAGCTAGTTTCACTCATCTGATTTCCTCAAATTTGAGTTGTAACATATGTTTTTGGTACTATGATCAATTGGTCCACTTTAATAAAGAAATTAATGCAAACCAAGAGACTATAAAGGGGACAGAGAGGGCATCCCCCATACACACCCTATTCCATAGGTAATTTGTCTCGAGTTATTTTTAACACCACAGATCTCAAGGGGGATTAGACAACAGCCAATCACATAGCGCGAATGTGTTCCGCGTGGATGACCCACGCTGAGAGCCACGCGTCCTTCACGAAATGACGCAGAACAAAATGGGGGAAGACGCGGAGAGCGATTTTGCTATTCCTTTTGACGACGAAAATGACTACAGCGAGATTTCTGCGAAAGCTGTGTCAGCGAAACCGAAATTAAAAAAGAATCGCCCTTTCTCTCTTGTATAGAGCTAACAGTAGAGCAGGGAAATCCTTAACACACTGAATATTCTCTCAGGATCATTTATAATTTACAGTTTGAAGAGAGCAATTTCTGGTTTGATGTTTATTTTTTTCAGTCTTTATAGCGATTATTCCTACCCACTTACTTTGTCAATTGTAGGCGAACCGTCCTGAAGCTGAATTTCAAGGGACCATATTCAAGCTCAGAAAGAGAAATAAAATTTCGTCGTTGCTTGTTTACGTCCTCTATAAAACGCGAAATTAGGCATTTTCACGTCGTAGTCGTGCAAAAACGGGAAAGAAATGAACAAAAAAGTGTGTTGCACGTGCGAAGTTGTTGTTTTGCTAATTAAACCTATTGTTTTTTTGACGTTCTAGTTGTCGTCCGCGTCGTTGGATCTTAAACTCCCTAAATTGTACAAACGACCGGTTTCAATAGACCGGCGAAATTTCTCATTTTATTAAAGCACTGAGGTTACGACAACTTCGAGTTAAACTGATTTCACGGGTTGTCAAAGAGTCCAGCGATTCCTTTTTCCCAGGTGAGCGCCGACTCATTTCGCTTCAATATTCAGGAATGCTCTCGATCTTTTTACGCTTTCATTGCCTCTCGCCCGACATGTTTTGCACGGCGTTTGGTCATGCGAAACCTCCACGAAACATCCACGCCTCGCGCGAGGTAACTTTATCCCGATTCTAAACATAACTCGAGACGAATTACCTATGGAATAGGGTGTATATGGGGGATGCCCTCTCTGTCCCCTTTATAGTCTCTTGTGCAAACGTATATCGTCATAGTCTCTGGGGATATTCTAAACGTTTCCACTGTTCATGTGAATGGCATTTGACACCTCATATGACATTATCTATCGAAACCTGTATTAGGCAGACACCCTGTATTAAGCGGACACTACAGCATTCCCCGAGGGTGTCCGCTTAATACAGGTTTCACTGTATATCGATCATTAAACGGTCGATAATATACAATGTGATTGTTGTTGCATCCAATGATAATGAGTCCTCTCAAGTTACCTTACCAGGCTTTTCGATCTGTGTACCTTTGCCAGTAATTCGAGGTCTTACACGTTTTCTCACAGTGGCTGGGGTCACTGTGGTTGAAGACGGCGTGGTCATCATTGACTCTGTGGCAATTTTTTTTTTAAAGAGGGCAAAGGAGGCGAACATTATCGCAACAAGAATAAGTTTAGATGTCGGGTTTCGAGAATTGAAAAACGCCTTGTAAAGTTAAAAGAGAAAATTTGGTCAGTTTGCCTCTTACCGGCACGGCGTGTGACACAGTCGAGATAGTTGACCCCTGAGAGACTGACGTGCTAGACTAGACTTACTTACGGAAGGACCATTAGAAAAGTTATAGGGGGAATTTTCGAGCCGCAGGAATTTTTTTTCGTTATCAAATTCCTTGTATGAATTCTTTTAGGCCACAGCATGAATATTTTTTTAGGGTTAATTGGCGCGCAAGAATTTTTTTTCATTCAATTTTCCCTTGCGCGAATATTTTTTTTGTACTTCGCACGCCCCCCCCGCCAATAAGTTTTCTAACGGTCCGTCCCTTATCAAAACTCGCACTAGACGTGCGTGGAAAGGGATTTGGTTGGTTTGTTTTTCGCGCTTTACTTTTATTGGAGTTATTTAGCTTTTGGGTCGACCTACCAAAAGGTTGAACGAATGTAGTTTACTTTTCAGCTAAAATTTACCAAAATATTAAAAAATACATGGACATGTGGTGCATAAATGCCTGAGATAATTAAACGCGCTAGATGGAAGCAACCATAAGTATGCGGAACCGATTATAAATGTGATTAAAATACGCGGTATCGGTATTTACACGATTTTCGACGCGGTATTTCGGTATTTGCCATTTTTTCTTACGGTATTGCGATATTGGGTACCCCCCAATGTCCCCCTCAAGGAGTGTCATCTTGATCTTTCATCTTTAAAACGTAGTGCGGCTTTTCTAGACAAACTTGAAATAGACGACTTATCGCTTAATTACTTTTTTAAAACAATGGTCTGTTGTTTCATCACATGACCAATCATGCCAACAGTACAATGCTGTTGACTCATTCCCTTTGGACGTACCGGTCGACATTAATTTCATTACTGCAGCATACTTGCCCGAAGAATCCATACCATCCACTGCACTGATCTTCAAATAAAAGCATCTCACTTTTGGCTCTCAAACAAAGGTTTGTTTTTAGATATCGTGTTTAAAAACATCATATTTATATTTGGGATTTTAAGGTATTATTCACTTATAAATTTATAAATATGCGGTGTGTGTGGCTGTTGAAGTGTAAAGGAAAGGTATAGTCCTTTTCAAGCTTGGTCTAAAAGTGCTGGAATTGTCATATCGTCTGTTCATGCCTCGAAGAGGCGATTTTAAACTCGGATTCGACCGTATGGACGGGTTACAATATCCCCCTTGACTGGCATTTTAACTCTTTCTGCGAAGTCTCAGACGTCCGAGAAGCGAAGGGACCGCGAACAACCTCGGACGTCTGAGAATCAGGCTACGAGGAGGTCGGGATCGGAAATCGTTCTTCATAAACCAATTAGTGCTATTACTTATGAGTATTCTCCTCGATTTTCTTAGTTCTGGGTTAAGTCATATCCATGACTTAAGGAGCGGACTTTGTAGGGTGAAATATTTCGCCCATACAATAGACTTCAGGAGGCGCGAAGGTGAAAGCATGAATGCTATTTCTGGTTATTGTCGAAAAATATGTCATGTCGCTTCTGTCCACTAGTCGGTTAGCGTCTGCAGTGTTGTTGGCAGTGGAGTGAACCTAGCAAACTGAACAAACGAAGATAAAGTAACAAAGCTAAGAAATGCCGTGTTTCTAACTCTTTCGCTAAAATCGCGTGACTTGTGGCAAAAATTTACAAGATTCGCGTGAATTATCCTT